CTAATGCTGTTCCAGCTAGAAGTGATGGGAGTTGTAAACCTGAACTATTCAGGTGCTATAACTCTGCCATACACACAGCAAACTATGGTTAAAAAAGCAAACCAGCCCTGAGTATTTTCTTATATGCGATTGCCACAAAAAATCAAAACAAAACAAAAATAATACAACTCTGCTTCTTAACTTTTCATTTTCTGTCTGTCCAACAAGTGATTTTCATACATACTCTTCATTCCCAAAATGAGCAACCACAAAATCCACCAACTTCCCTGTGAAGTTTACAGTCATGGAGATGGCTGGTGCTATCTCTCCCTCAGGAGAGGGGAGAAGATGGTGCCTAGATTTCACAATCGGGTACCTTGACAGAACCATTATCCTGCAATACAATAAAGTAAAATTATTTAAGACGTTTAGCTTCAAAGCGTAATGAAAACCAATAATACTGTCATTTGAAGTTTAGTGAACCAGGACAGTTGCCCAGAGTTCCACTATTGAGAAGGAGATTGATTCATCCAGCAGTGGAAAGCCAACAGAGCCTCTGCCACTACAAAATAGGATAAGAAGCGAATGCAGGGTTCAAGGAAAAAGAAAGAAGTGGGGGATGCATGGAATGATTGTACATTAAAGCTCTGGAAAAAGCTTTATTACATGAAATCATGAGGGAAATGTTCACAAACACCCTATGCTTTTTCCATCTTCTTCTTTCAGGGCACCTACAAGGATTGAGAAATTGATTGTTTACATGTTCATGGATTGTTTCTGTCTGAAGGTCACCTAAGGTAATTTACAACTTAAAACTCAACCTCATGGCCAGAGCTTGGAAATGTTATTTTTGGACTATGATTCCCAGAACTGGGTTGTTTTAGGAACTTTCCCAGCCTCTGTGTAACAAAACAATACATGTAGTTCCACTTACTTCCAAACTGCAGCTTTTAGAAGCAATATGAGGTTATGTCACTCCAAAAACATAGTTGTGACCCTAAGGTTGGACCCTATGACCTTAAGGTAGGCTGTCACCCCAAGTATCTTCTTAAGTACTCCAGTGGCTGCTTATCTAGCAACCATTTACTAAGCCAACTATTTAATTGCCAAAATCTTATATGGTGGATACAACTGAAGGAAGGTAACAGGATTTTCCCCTGGACTACTATTTTTGAAACCCTGAGTATGTTTGAATAGGAAATGCCAGGCATCCCATGATAAAAATAATTTTGACTATAATTTTTAAAGGAACCCTCTTCAATATATATGGAGAGAGTGATAAATGTTAGTCAAGAAGGAGAGAATTGCTTTGGCTCTGGAAACTTGACTGCTCCCACAACTGGGGACCAACCCAGATGGCATCAGAGATCAGAGATCTGTCCCTTAAAGTCCCTCCCTTATCCCTGAAATCACCTAGCACCTTTCCCAATGCCTATTTCTTCATGAAGATAGAGATATGACCCTCAAAATCCAACTGGATGGTGAGGGCCATGAATATGGAACCCCATGTTGTTTTTGATCATTGATCAGAGATTTGTAGAGATTCCAGCTCCTGCCATCCTCTCAGCTGTGATGACAGTGAGCAGGACAAGTATGTGTTTAATCTCAATATCTCTAGTCACCCAGTACAAGTTAGGGCTGCTGCATTGAAAACTGGGGACAATTTAATGGTTATACTGTACTATATAAATTAGAGGACTTCAGAAAGTGTTGCTTGCAAATAACCAGGTGTCAGAATCTGTCATATTCTGTCATAAAATGACTATTACTGTAATGTATAAGAAGTATTTTACATATATGTTATGCGTTTTAGGGATATAGGGTGCAGTGGCTCAAATGGTTAAGACGCTGACTCTGTTGATGGCAAGATTGGCAGATTGGGTGCTGCATGATGGGGTGAGCTCCCAACACTAGATCCAGCTTCTGCCAACCTAACAGTTCGAAAGCATGCAAATGCAAGTAGATAAATAGGTACCACTTCTCAGTGGGAAGGCAAACAGTGTTCTGTGTAATCATGCTGGCCCCATGATCACAGAGTAGTCTCTGACAATGCTGGCTCTTTGGCTTAGTAACGGAGATGAGCACCACCCCTATGATTGGATACGACTTGACAACCTTGTCAACGGGGAATACTTTTACCTTGGCCTTGACCTTTTGGAGTGTTTTAGATATGTGGAAGTATTATACGAATGTTAGAGTATATTGGGATATAATGAAAATGATAGGAAGTGCAGTGGTGTAAATAATTGGTGGTGGTTCAATTGGTGGTCGTTTGCTTTTGGCAAACAAAAAGTAGAGATGGGGCCTGGAAGGTAACTGAGGCTGGGTGAACAGGGCTAATATGGCAAGAGAGGGTTGTTATATTTTAATTAGTAAATGAATTAAGATGAAATTTTTGGGGTGGGACATTGTTAATATTATACCAGTGCATGTGGATGATGGCACGTCTCTCTGCAGATGTCTTCCTGGTAATACCTATGGTTTTTCTGAAATAAAGTTTTCCTGTTTACAACACAGAAGACTTATTTACTGTACCCTGGGCAGGGGGAGGCAGTTATTGACACCAGGTAACAAGCAACACTTTCTACACAGCCATTAATGGTACAAGAAACCCTATTAGATGCCTCCTACCAGTTAGAAATCCCCCTTCTTTGCAGGCTACATTTAGAACTGTCCTATTGTGTCCTTCAATTTCCAGCCAGTAGCATTTCTAGCTGGTTTGCTATATGTAGCCTAGGCAGATAGCAAGTTCTTCATTTGCCACAACACAATATCATTCCCACTCCAGTTTATACAACACATATCTTTAATTGCCTGCTTTTCTGTCTTTGTATCCAAATATCCCACACTCACCCCCAAGTATGATCTCGAGTACTTGGGCCAAAATCTGTATAAAAACCAAGTTTTTCTCCTAACCACATGGTTGGATCACTGTTCCCAATGAATGGCTTAGAGGCATCACTTTCCACAATAGTGATGAAATCTGCACCTGAGAAACACAAATATTTTGAAACAGGAGTGTAACCAATTCAATGACCTTCAGTTAACTTTTTTTCCAGTACTAACTAAGGAAAGTGGAAAATGAAAAACCAGAAGATTATTTCATCACATCAGCTATATAATTTTGTTCCTGTTAAAAGAAAAAAAAAAACATAAAATATTGTCTATCCTTCAGTGCTTTGACTGGTAGACTCTTTGGGTAAAAAGATTAAATATACAAAATAAAAACATTCTGAGTTTGGCCAGGTCATGATGAACTGGAGTCCAACTGAGGTCTAGTCCAAGTAGGATTAAGTCTGGATCTAACTTTCTGATTACAATTTATGCAACAGGAGCAATAATTCTTTATGTGCATAATGAAATATTTAATAACCATAAATATTCAATCGATTACTTTGAACTGAGTACCTATCTTATTTATTAAGTTTATGCTTGAGTTTATGTGCCTTCAAGTCACCTGTCAACATATGGCAACCTCATGAATACCTGCAAAAGTATACTGCGTAATAACAATAATAATAATGCTAACAATAACAACAACATTGCATAGTACATACCCTTGACAAAAATCAGCAATGATTATGGCAGACCTCAGTTAACATTTTTTTTTTTTTTTTTTTCTGTGTGTCTTCAAGTTGTTTTCTTGGCAGGATTTTCTCAGCAGGAGTTTGCCTTTGCCTTCCTCTGAGGCTGAGAGTGTGAGAGTGGCTCAAGGTCATCACTCAGTGGGTTTCCAGAGCTGAGCAGGGATTTGAACCCTCATCTCCAGAGTCTTAATCCAATGTTCAAACCACTATACCACACTACAAAGCCTCTGACAAAGAAGCTCCTCTTTATAAAGTCTTTTTACATCTTCCTAATCTCCATTTCTTCCTTG